TTCGAGATTGCAAAGGCGATCTGTTTATGAGGATGGCATAGTGTTGGAGGTTTCAGGCCCTCTGTGATCTCATCGTTCAGGGGCTTCGTCTTCCTCTTTCTCATTAGCTGCGGGCCATTTTGAACCATTATGGTGTCATCCTGATCCAACTAAAGGAGAACTGTATGCTGCAGAGCTGACTTTCATCGTCTATTGTTGCATAATAGAAATCCCTTGGTCGAGGGAGTTGTTTTCTCATGTGTTTTTCTTCAGGGTCGATCCAGACAACTACATCAACTTAACTTCATATAGAAAGATTTGACTGATTGGCCTGGAGAATAAAGTAAAGAACTGGAAGCACCACTTCCTCTTGGCGTCGGTGAAAGACTGGGGGTTTCTTACTTTCATCCTAGGAACATTACAAGCGACAAATGATTTCTCCCCAGATGTGGGTTTTGGCATTGTTTGTTGAAGAGAAGAGTCTTTCTGTTGTCTAGTAACCTCACGACGACATAGTCAACAAGGTTCTAAACCCTCACATGCATGGTTGAATGGCCCTGGAACTGTGGGTTGCTTCGGATGTTGAGGAGTCGAAGTGGTGGATTGACAAGGCGGCAATTGCTTCCAAAAAGGGACCAAGAATGAAGAAACCACTGAAGGGAGAGAAAGCGCCCCCGAAGAAGATCCCAGGTTCGGACCTCCTCATTTCTACCTCGGATACAATCGTCGTTATCTAGAAGATTTTGACTGGTGAGTTAACCTTAATTGAAAGAAAGCCTTTCTTTGCGACAGACAGCGCGGGAGGTGATGATGTTGCAATCCCTTCCATCTTGTTGTAGGATATTCAGTCTTTCCCGGACAACGAGTCGACTGAGGTCCGCATGAACTTTTCTGAAAGGGGGAGAGCCTGTCAGCTCTCTCCTGGCCTTGCAGCTAAAGAGTGAGGCTCTAGTCAGATTGCGGGTTCAGATGAAGTGGGTTTTGGGTTTGAGGCTAATCTAGAGGGGGCGACCTCAAGCCGTAAGTCTGATGCAGATGGTGCTACTCCTCGCACGCAGTCAGAAAGCAATTACCTGACCCTCAAGGAGCTGGGGCAAAGAAAGGGGAAGGAACCCATGGGCAGTGATGGATGGATCTCGATGCAAAAGGAGGGACCGAAAGCCTTCGTCTAGAGGGACTCCCGTCCTTTTAAACAAGGTCATTTACACTGTGTTTAATTAGGCTAATAAACAATTACTGACTAACGGCGACATGCTTCTTATTCTTCGACCCGTGCTTGTCTGCTTGGCAATGATAGGTCGAACCACGTGAAGATGGTATGCAGGTTCCTTGGTTAGATATCCCCATGGGCTCTTCTTGAATTTTGAATCGCCCGCCCCGTTTGCCAAATGATAAGGAAAAAACAAAATCCTTTTAAAAAAATCTTGTTCTCGTTTGGTTTGACAATCACATTTGGTTCCACACTCATTCGGCTCACCTCGTTGCTCAACATGTCATTTGCTTGAGCTACATGAAATGCTCCAACGCACAAACTTGCTTCGGAATCACCACAAGCTCCTCTTGTACTCGTTCATTGCCCTTATAGTCCACCGTTCAGCTCTCACCCGCAGCTTGCTCGCATAAGTGCACTTACTCCCACCTCATATTGCTCACGCTTTCTGTCTCAAGCTCATTGATCATTGCCTGATCTCACGCCACCGCTCTAATCACGCTCGACACAAGGCCATGTCATTGTCTTGCTTGCGATCTTTGCTTGTCTGATCCTCGTTCGATCTTTATTACTTTCATTAGCCTCTTCAACTTCTCAGCTTGTTTTGCCTCCCCCTTCTCTTCGACTTACGTCTATGCACCTAACTTTTCTTTCGTCACCCTTCCTTGACGTTATGTAACTCCCAAAATTTCGGAAATCATGTAAACTTCGACAAAATTTTACCCTTCAGAATTCAATCAAAATAAATTTATAAAATTCTATGCATGAAAGCGATCAATTCGATATGAATCATTACATACTAATTATGATTGGATTGGAAGATATATAATTTTGAAGCTATGAGCTTAATTAACTTAATTTAAACCTTAATTAATCCTAATATTCACTAATCTCTCGCATGAGCACTGTAGCCAACTGACTCCCACTCACTTTTCTTGGCACGCAATGGTTCGATTCGATCGAACGACTACAAATTAAGAGAGGATCTCTTAAGTGTCGCATTTTTTCCCTCTCCTTGTGTCCGTTTTGCGCGACTGGAAGGGTTCTCTGCTCAGTTTACTATAGTTGGGCGCGAACAAGCAGGGGCGAGCGGCCAACTCGGAGTCGTAGCTCACAGTAGAGGCTTTCAAGGAGTTTTTCGTAGGCATGAATCCCTCTTTCACGCCATTCTAAATATTCATTTTCTTCCTAACACTTCCATTTTGATATTTGTCTCGATTCGTGCAACTTTCTTGTTTCCGATAGCCAATAGAGGCCCTAAACTTGTGTCGGAAGTGTCGAAAGTGGTTTGCAAACTTTTTTATGGTTTTAGCACAAAACCAACGAGGGGGAAAGATGATTTGAGGTGTTATAAAGAAGAGAAGTTTAGGCTGTTTTGGAAAGTTGGGGTTATGCCGAGGTCTTTTGAAGTATTACTTGGCAAATAAGTTATATTTTTTATTACATCACAATATAATTTCATGATTTCCTACGATGCTTATGTCATATTGTTTATACAAAGCAGCGAGCTCGAGCCGAGCTTCATAATACTTGTCGTAGAGCTGTCCCGTCAAGTCAAGTGAAATAGTATTGTACTAATTTAAGAAAAATAATCTTCTATAGGTTTTATGTGATTATGTATTTGACACTGTTACATTTAGAATTTTTGTATATTATAGATGAATACTTATTTGCAATGTATAAATATCAGTTGATTTCTCTTTTGATACATGTGATGCTATTATGTTATGATACATATGAATCTACTTATGAAATATTATTTGCATGTATTCTTTTGTCATAATTCATACAATTGATATATGAAATGTCTATGAATGTTTGTTACAAGTATAATGTTTTAATAAATATCACAATGAATGTTATGGTAGACTATTACATGACTGTTTGCAAGTATGTTATGTATGAATGTGGTATTCTTGACTTTTGGTGTTCAGGCGGTGACAAAATTCTAAAATCGTTTTGTTCAGGTGGTGACAAAATGTAGGAAACCGTTGGATCGGAGGAGTGGGGGGCTATTGATAACTAATATGTTAGGGGGACAAATTTATCGATAGTTTATATGACATTTGGGACAGGGGTGATGACCCATGATGATAGGGCATGAGAATTGTTACGGCTTATATATTTACAAGTGACATTACTATGAAATGATATCTCTGAGATGACATTGTTTTGATTATATATAATAAACACTTTATGAACATATTTTTTATTATATTTATGATTTCATGATCACGATTATACATGTTTACACAGCAGCCTTGATTTTTATACTATCTGCTTTCTTTTCATGTTCTATAAGATTCTAGCATGGTGTAACTTGTGTCTAGACATCTACAATTTCATATGAGTATGCACGTTTTTTTTTCTACGTATAAAATTTTATTTTAGCCTTGGCTATTTTCCTGAGCTTGTTGCTGCTCACTCTGTGTGTTGCCTTCCACGTAGGGGCAACGAGCACTAGGACGAGTAGCCATGTATGATTTATACAACTTTTGCATTGTATAGTTTTTGTAGCTTATACTGACGTTTTGAGTATGTACTGTTATTATTTTGGATTTAGTAGCTCTATATAGTTTATATGTTTTGAGAATATGATTTTCCACTCTTCCAGGTATAAAAACAAATGAATTATGAAATGGAATATACCACGTATGTTAGCGATAATTTAATTGTAATTCATCACCCAATTGGTCGTGATATCGCAAGTCAGGATGAGTTTTGTGAGAATTTAGTCTGACTGAATTGTCCGCCTCTGTCACACCTCAATCGACCCTAAATGGGGGGACCAATTGGGGTGTGACGCTAGCCGATTCCTTTTATGAGAGGTTACACTAGGGAGTTGTCTATCCCTTTGTGGATTTCTATTTGCTTGTTTTAATTAATATTTAGGGTTTCTTATGTTGGTTTGATTATAAATGGTTGCTTTAGAGTTTGTTTTGGGCAATTGGCTTGATTTTATAATATTGGAGATTGCTTTCTCTGATTTTTTTGTCCTTTGCATTTCTACTTCAAATGATGTGCCTTTACCTCCAATAAGATCAAGTGATGGATATTCTTGAAGTCCGTACCTCGCCAAAACATCTAGTGGTTGGTGCTTCCTTGTTGTTTTCCTGCCGGACAATAGCCATAATTGTTTTTTCCTCCACTAATACTTGTTGATGCTTAGATATTTCCTTCAACTATTCTTCAAGCTCCTCCGATATTTATTTTGACCCACATACACTTTCTAGGAACCCTAAAACCGTGTCACCACCTACCCTCAGTTTGCGGGATGGATGAGATATAGGAAAGGCAATTTAGGAAAGGCTATATAAATAATTATTTATTAAGATTACTATTTTTATATAAATTTTACTAAATATAATATCATTTGTTATTAGAAATCAAACCCATCTTAGAAACACGATTTTCCATCCGCTGTTGCATGTTGCAGTATGTGTAGAACTTTGATTTGTTACAGTAATTTTGATAAAAAAAATCATTAAATTAATTAAAATACAAGCTAATTAAATAAAGTTTGTATATTTGAAAAGTAATATACATATCTATATCTATATCAAAATAATTGAATTGAAATATAGACTTTTATAAAAATAGTTTCAATGATTTTCGGGAGGTGTGAAAAAAATAAGATATAATTTAAAAGCAAAACTTTAATTCATCTTTTTAGTCAAATTAAGTGTTAAAAGTTTATTTCTTGATTTTATGACTGAAGGTGAACTTCAATATTCTTTGTTCAAAGGCAGGTATTTTGAGAATCTTGTTGGTTTAATGTCACTCTTATGGTCTATCTTGTATAATGTTTCAGAACCCAAGAGTTGGAGGCTCAGGACTTGTAGGCAAATGTGAACTTGGTGAAAAATATGTGGAGTAAGCTCCTTTTCTTATTTTATCTGTTTATTAATTTATTTGTTTGTTTTTTGAATATTTGATTCTCAGAGAACATGTGCTTGCACTTGTATATGTAATGCTCATTAGATTAGAATAATGACAATGTACATTGCATTTTTTTTTTGTCTTATGTTACGCTTGTTCCAAATCTTCAACCTATCTAACTGCTGTTATCATTATTTATGTTTTTTATTATATTTCAATTTTTTTCGTAAGGCTGTGGTAACTACTATCAAATGTAAGATGTAGACAGTTTCTGGACAAACATGGGAAGTTGCTTAAAAATTATGATTACTTGGAGGTCTATTTGGTATTACTTTTTGTTTTTGTTTCTAGAAAAGTTAAAGATATAATAGACATGCTGAGTGAGTTTTCCCTTTTATTTTTTTCTTTAATAATAGCTTGAGCTGTTATGAACATTTAGAAAACACGTTTTTGGTTTGATGTAAAGTTTCCAGAATAACTTTTTGGATCTCAACAAGCAACAATTTTGGACTTTGACCAAATGGGCAGCACGCCAAAGCACTTGAAACGTTAACTCTTGTGAGATTACAAAGCTCATCACTTTCTCTTTATAATAACAAACATTTTTTAGTTAAAATAGCTGCTAGTATTCTCACTGTACTTTATTTTTCATAGAATATAGGATTACTAGTAATGTTGATAACTACTTTATTATCATTAACTTAGAACTATAAGTCTAAATTTGAAAGCCAATTTCCCTCGGGAAGGTTTTAACACACGTCATCTCATATTTCGAGCATGTTATAGCTTTGTATTTCGGCTTAGCGCTTCATCTGGGCCACCACTATTTGTTTATTGATTAGTCGTGTGAGCAAATGATCTCTCACAAAGATACAGCACCTAGATAAAAATTCCACCATCAATAAATCAAATATGGTGAACGTTAAATAAAATTTCCACGTTATAATGTCCATTCTTATTATATGTCAGTTCTTTTCTTGGTTGCTCCTTGATACATCTAAGGATACAAAGCAACCTCCCAATTTACTTATTTAAGTGCCCGCATGTGTTAACTTATAGTTCAAATAATAAAAAGCAAGATTAGGTTAGGTAATAGTAAGGTTAATTTTCTAATCAACCGCCAATAATAGGAGAGGGATCTTCAACCTAATAGGCTCATTTATTCAAGGCCAATTACATGCTCCCTTTATGATGAGGAAACGTTCTTTTTCAATGCAATGTAAATTTGATGCCTGAGTATCTAGGAAGTGTTTGATTTCAATAGCTTCATTTTGATTACTCCTAGTAAAAAGGATGTTGTTAACATAGATTATCAACATAATCAATGCAGTTCTAGGTGCTTCTATAAGTCATTTTGGAATAGCAAGGGAGGATAATAGAGGCGAAAAACTACATTTAAAGGGAGAAAAACGACATTTAAAGGGAGAAAAACGACATTCTGCAGCTGTCCTGACTGAAAACAACAAAGATAGCATCAAAACAACGAGAAACAGATGTCTAGGAGGTTCACCACATGTTCTTGTACAAGCTACAAATACATTATTTGCAAAAGGAACATGATACAATACTCTATTTAGGTAGAAATTAGAGATACAATATCTAAAGCGCGCAAATAAAATCAAAAGTTTCTCCAACAGCAAAACAACATATAAATGGATTCCTAATAAAAAATAAATCAAATTAGAAAAAAAAAGAAAAAAGGAAATAAGTATTGTAAGGATTCTCGCAAATATTTCCAAACAAATGAAAAGTTCCCATTCGATCTTCCCAAGGGTAGCAGAACTTTTGTTTCCATGCGAATGACATAATTCCCACAACAGAAGTCGCGAGATCCCTGACCCCTTGATGGCAGATGCTTCTGCATCATTCTCCCCAACTATGAGATTTTTTTTTTCTTTCTCTGGTGGCTTCTGGAATCGATCTACTACAATAACATAGTCATTGCACTGCTATAGCTGGGGAAGCCTCACTATAAAATTTATACTCACGTCCATTCCATATAACTAAACCACATGTCATTTCAAAGACCGTCCTGAAAGAATAAGTAGACATCCTAGTTTGGCTCATCTAGAGCTCGAAGTTACTTAGATGAGTTTTCCCACTCGTAAAAAAGTATGGAATAACCAATATGAAATGAAATATGTGGCATGTTGGACCACTCTCAGTGTCGACCACCCAAGAGGTAAATGGTCGGTCAAGTTATCCAATGTCTCCCTCAACAAAGGTTGTCTCTTTTATGCTATTGGCTACTCGGACTCACTATCTGTAGAACAACTAATGTTAATCCACTTAGAGTCTCTTTCATGGGTTCAGCCTGAATTACTAGCATCTTATTATCGTCGGCTAGGAGTTAAAACTTCTCTTTGATGTCTTCTCCTATGTCACTTTACATTTCTTCAGTTGTTTTCTGCTCAATGAAAGAAATCGTTATTCTATTTGGAGAATCAAATGTCACATGGCCAAAATCATGACACTTGAAGCATTTATTGGAGATGATGGATTTAGGAGTATTGGTAGTCTCCACCTTTTCTCCACTCTAAACGAGTTTCTTTTCAAGCTGAGTCAGCTTGGGTGTTGCACTGGGTGTACTCTTGCTGTCTGATTTGATAGTTGAACTCTACTTGAAAGGTGGTGTGAAGTCGATACTACTTTGTTGTCTTTCCACCTTTATTGATAGGTTCTAAATATTTTGTAATGTCCAATAATAATGCAATTGTACCACATTGCCAATAGATAATCTCAATTCCCTCATATAGCAAACTACGGTATTCTCGAGCTCTACTAGCTCACATTTCAACATAAACTAATCGAACTCAATTGTGTACTCTTCTACTGATAGATCTTGTTGATGCAAGTGATGAAGAATGTGTTTCGGTTGTGGCTGTATGAAATCTCAGCTCAAAAGTTGCTATAAAAATCTACTGTTTAAAATTTGTTCTTCTCGAAGCAATTATTATGTTTAAAAAATTCAGTTTTGCTAGCGATCTATGGATAAATGGCTAAAATACCCCTGTGTTCATATTATATAGAATTCATAGTTTTATAGATGTATGTAATTATCATATTTAACTGTATCATATTAAACAAACAGGAGTACAAAAGTAAACTCAAAGTTAAATTATAGAATCAAGAGAAATACATTTATTTGGCCATACAAATACAAATCCAATATCAATGATGAGTATTTTTTATTTTTGCAAGCTACACAAACTATGCATAAGAAAATCTTTGTCAAACCTTAAAAAGTATAAATTTCCAACACTCGATAAAACATAAATCACATTAGCAATAGTTTATAAAGAGGAAAATATTTATAACAGCATAAGCATTATAATCTACATTAAGATATGAATTTTATGATACAGGTTGAGATTATAAATCTAAGAGCACTCCACGAATAAGACAAGCAATAATATTATTTGCAACTAACCTACAACATGTATGTGTCAGATCCAATTATAGCGTCATATACTTCACAATAAGAGTTGTGGGTGAGTGTTAACTTCCATAAAAGCTAATCTCCTTCGCCTATTCCTCTGCCTATATAGGTCATAGCATAAAATTTTCAGCCTATCCCACATAACATGATCTTTTGTAAACTTATTACATTTTGTACTGTAAAAATTTAAAATGTATATATTATTCACTTGGAATATGTTAAACAACATTATGTTTCAATATATAACTCTTAATTACTAGATTACCGAGAAAATATTATATATTGAATTTGATATCAGAATACTTGTAATGCTTCAGACACATTCTTCCTAATATGAAGAATTTGTTCAAAATGCAATATATAGCTCACATATAAAGTTCACACACAAATCTAACTTATAAAAATTTACATGCAAAAGAAGCATATTTACTTGATGAACTAGGGATTGAGTATCATACAAAAATTGCATAATATATATTAGTTTTTGTAATTTTTTGAGGTGAAAAATAATTATTCCTCTTCAATTTCCCAAGAGAAAGTTGCAAGTTAAATAGCAGGGGAAGGCCTCTACATTAAGAAAGCCACAAAATTTCTATTCTAAAAAAGAAATGAAAATTATCAACAATAGCTAATTCTAAAAGTAGAAACAATTAAAAATAGAAAATAATAAAAATAGAAGATATCAAATGAGGAAATTCTAAAATTCCAACAACCCCTTTCAAGTTGGAGCATAGATATCTACCATGAACTTGCTTACAAGGAACTCAAAATTAGGCCTGAAAAGTCCTTTGGTGAAGATGTATGTTATTTCTTGCATTGTCGGAGTGAAAGACATGCAATAGCTCTACAATTAACCTTTTCTCTTTTTAGAAGTGTATCAATCTCCATATGTTTAGTGTGATCATGTTGCACTAGATTTTCTATAATGCTTATGGAAGCTTTATTGTCACAGTACATCTTCATTGACATATTTATCAGGAATTATATCTCTTCAAGAATTCTCTTCACATGTAACATCTCACATACTCCATTAGTCCTAGCATGATATTCTGCCTTGGCACTACTCATTGCCACGACATTTTCTTTGTTACTTCGCCATGTAAACATATTTCCCCAAACATAAATACATCATCCGGATGTTGCTCTCCTACCAACAACTAAGCCAACCCAATCTACATTGGTGTATACCTCTATTCTGTTGTGTGGTAAAGAGTGTATTTTATAGGTATTTGAGAATTTTATCAACTACATGAAGGTGTTTCTTAGAGGCCGAATCCTTATCTGGTGTATACCTCTGTATATCTTTTGAAAGATTAAAACCTTACGTGTGATCTTTATCAACTTCTTGAAGGTGTTGCATTTTAGTAGATAGACCAATCCATAAATATTGTTGTACAATGATTCAATTTAAAATGCATCTCCAACTGAAGGGGTAGAATGCTTTGTTCTCCGCTTTCCCTTGTGTGAACCACTGGTGCACCACACTTTCCCTTGTGCATGTAAACCATTTTAAGACGCCAGATGTTCCTTTAACACAAACTCAATATGTAAAAAAATTTAGAACGTATGATAAAAATTACGTAAATACATCAAAAATACATTTAACCATGCTATAACAAGTAGGAAAAATCTGAGGATGGGAAAGCAATCAGACGAAATAGACGCCAGTTAGCAGCCGAGGGCTTGCTCAAGATTCTGATCTAGAGTAAGATGCTCTAGTCACATTAAATGAGGGAGTTAGCGGAATTCTCTGGCAGTAGGGCAGGGAGCCTAACGTAAGTCGGTTGGGTCTGAACGAGCAATTATTAATTTGCTTGGCCAATCTTCGCACTTTTTGTTGTTAAAAAAGAAAAAAAGAAGGGCCATTATATAAATACCACACAATGCTTATGTAGTTACATATCTAACACCTAACCATTCATATTTAAATGCGTACCACTCAAATTTTTAACATCGCATAAAAAATACCCCCATCAAGTGAACTACACATGTTCATGCATAAGTTTAGGACACAAGGTGTCATAAGTCCAAATATCAAACTTTGGGTTTTAGATATGTAAATACATAAAACTTGTGAGGTATGTTTGTGAATTTCCCAAAAAAGAAAGATTAGTTTTTGATCACTGAGACATTATTAATGTTTTTTGTTGTAGGACATGGCTTACAGAAAGAGAGGCGGAGCTAGTTCAACGATTCGATCCATCTGCGCCTCTCGATACCATTGGTTTCTTCATTGCAAAATTTAATGTTGGCCAGAAATAACTACCTGTGAGGCAATTTATACTTTTTTCAGCTTATCACCATACATTGTGTTGTTTAAGCTGCCCCATATCCATTTTTTGACATGATTTTTGATGCATCAATTTATTGCTGGACAATTTTTTTGGGGTAATACTTGTACTTATTTGAAATGTTTTGATTATTATGCCTTTTTGTATCTTCTTTTCAGGATATACTGTAAAAGCAAATAACTAAGCCATTTATATATATTAAAAGAAAAAATTTAGTACTAGCTCAAATTCTGTTTGCAGGTTTATTGTGAAATTTCGGTTTTCAGTTTACTTCTCAGCATAAAGTCAACTTGAATCCTCTGTTGATAGATTTTACTTTTTTCTTTAATACAATTAAATGCTATAACAAAGCCAGTTTAATGAGCAATTTGAATATTTATTTCAAAAATAAGATGTCAAATAACCACTAAATAGGAAATTTTGTTTATATATATAT